GAGCTGGCACCAGGGACTTAGACCCATACACACACACACACACACACACACACACACGCACACACACACACACACACACACACACACACACACACACACGCTATGTTTCTCTACCCTTGTGGGGACTTTCCATTGACTTCCATTCATTTATGGGTCACCCCTTACTCTAAAGTTAACCACTCTAGTACCTACCTGACCCTAAATCTAGCATAAACTTAATTCACACCATGGTCCTAAACCTAACCCTCACACCCCAAAATCAGCCTCCAAACTTGTGGGGACCAGGCTTTGGTTCCCACAAGGAGCATTCGGTCCCTACGAGGCTGCATTTTCCTGAAAAACCGTCCCCACCAAGTAGCAAAATATGGGCCCACATCCAAACCCAAACCCACACGCATACACACATGCGTGCGGCTACCTACCTGCCTTGTAATCGTGAATTTTCAGTGCTACTGGAACAGGTAATGTCAGTCTCATCAGGTAACGTCCAGCTTTTCCTATGAAAAGTTAGCTTGCTGCTAGCCACCAGCAAATGCAATCACTTAAATGTTGGTGATAACATTTAATCTATTATTGATTTATTTTTAAGCAGTAAAACTATATTTTAATACCAAGATATGATATATGATATTTATTTCAACTATTCCTTGTGCTCCTAGCTGCTGTAGTTACAACCACTGATATACTGAAGCATTAAAGTTGCCCATCAACATTTAACAAGTGTGGCCAAATACTTCTGACCATATAGTGTAGTTAACCTCATTTGACAAACTGAAGGACATGCTTTTGAGTTACAAAGTATTCAAAGCTGTTATTTATATTTTGACCCAATTAAATCTATAAAAATGTATAGAGGACATTTTAGTTAAATGCAAACTTTGACTACTTGAGTTTCAATCACCCCTATTCATTTACAAAGTTTTCAAGTTGTTCAAAGCTCTTGAATAATTGATTGATACTCCTTAATTCTACCCCAATCAACAAATTAGTTCCAAACCCCATTTTTGCACTTACTCTAATTAAATTTTCTAAAAACATGACATACTGTAGAAAAACACTTTTTTAAAGGCACCAAATAGTCCCAAATTATGACAAATGATTTAATTAGTGTGAGGATGAATGTTGCTCTAACCGCAGATTTTTCAGGACCGATGAGTAAGACTTTTTGTCAAGAGAGAAACGGTTTTCGGTCATCTACTGGGTGGAGCTGTACAGCAAAGGCTTAAAATTGGTTTCAAGTGTGAGTAAGTGCCTAGTGCACCCTCTCCCATCTCATCTTGTGATAGATGAGAGGACATCCCCAGGGATGTGAGGCTGATTGTAACATTGTTGCTAATTGATGACATAGTTGGGAATGATCTATGGTAGACAGAATGCCCACCAAGTTAGAAAAGAGTTTAAAACACTTTTGCAAGCAGACAACAATCAATAATCAAAGAATTTCAGTTCAATGACTGTTTTTTTTAAAGAAAAGTTGCACTTAGTCAACTTGTGCTGCATTAAAAAGTGTACTTTTGTTTTTTTGCTTTTTTTGCTCAAGTCTAGATCAAGAACACACATTTTGAGGTACCACATTTTTCTCAATGTCAGTTTAACTTCTAAACTTGGTGAAAAGCACCTTGGTGTGTATTATACCTTTCAGAAAAGTTGGTGTGCAGCCTTTCTTATTTGCACATATCATCTGCCTAACCATCAATAAAAGGTCAAACAAAAGCAAAAAATGGCAGAAAGGAAAAAAAAGCCTAAAATAAGTGGCATGAACTGAAGACTGAGAGCTTAGATTTTCCATTATTTCCTCCCTTTAATACCAATCTACAGTATCTGTTCCCTTAGGTCAGGGCAAAGAAGCCTCTTCGCAATGATTTGTTTTTAATTTACACAGAAGATACCCAAAGCTGTGAGTAGATATTGATGTTATAATGTCTTTCCCATCTATCAAAAACTTTTCAAATGTTCCAAAATTTCACAGGGCAGAAAATCTTTCAAAGGTGTGAGCGCCTTGGAGATGATCTAAACAAGATATAGATCTTCAAGTCATACAGTACGAAATGTTGACCTACTGTCCCTCAAACTTACCTGATCTGTTTCCATTATGTCTGCGAGATCGTTCTCTGACATATTGAGGATGGATGCAGCAATGGACTTTGCTTTGATCATAGACTTGGCTGAGAGGCCGCTCTTCGCTGCCACAGAGCTGGCCTGCCTCAGCCTCCTCCTGCTTATCAACTGCTGCTTGACCTCTTGAACATCTAAAAGTATTTCACTGGCAAGGGTCTGAAAGGGGAGGGGGGGAAAAGGGAATAGAAAAAGAAGAGGATGATGAAATGGATGTAGAAAAACAAGAGAGATAGCACTGCCTGCCAGATGAATAAATGAAATTGATCAAGCATGCGCCAGAGAGGCCTAGTACATTATGGAGGAATATTGAGTTTGACACACTCAGATTCTCTTCGGTTTTGCTTCACACTCCCCTGTAGGAACGTGGACCCGAGGGTTTGTTGCCCTGTCGATTGAGCGCTCAGGGAACACAGCTTTGATATTAAACACACCCCGAGTTTTACTTAATTCTCCAAAGGCAGAAAATCACACATCAGAGAGAGGGAGCGAGATACAGAGAGATACTAAAAAAGCAGCCATTCATTTATTTATTTGCTTTCCAAATGTCTCGCAGTACAACAGTGCAGCATAACACTGTTAATAATTAAGCTAACAGGGGCTGTCTCAAATGGTGCCCGAGTGGATGGCAAGCATGAACAGGTAGGCCTGGGATGGCACAGTTGCCAAGCACTAAATGGGAATATGCTCTAAATACAGAGAGACAATTAAATGGTAAAACTGCCACTGCACATGAAAAAGCCAATAAAGTAAACTCCCATTTGATTCATTTTATGCTTTATTGATCGATTGATCTTCTGAATCATTCCCTTGCAGGTCTGCTGAAAAGCTGTCCTTGGGTGATTGTCAGATGAAGCAAAACTAGAGACAGAAGAACTTACTGTATGCAAAATCAACAAGACTGGTATGACTTGTTCTAAACTGTAGACAATATGAAGAAACAGGGCGATTTACAAATTTGTAACATACACATTAAAAAACACACAAAAACATTCAAGGGAACTAAGGTAAGGAGGATAACCATATACAGTATACTGTGTTAAAAAGTATAAAACACCTCCACTCTTCTAAATTTCATCAGATCTAGACCCTTTTTTATAGGGATGCACTGATATGAAAATTTCAGCCAATATCAATGTCTGATATAATTATTGCTGTTATGGCCGATAACCAATATTTAACAATATTACATAAAATTATATTATACATATATGCACAAACACACTTGGGTCTTTTTTTGATACCGTAAATAAATGACCAGACCTCTGACATGGCTCCCTGCTTCAGTTATTCCTGGCTACACAGCATCAATATCACTATCATGATCAAACAGATGCCGCTCAACCAACCATCTCCCCTCCCAAAACAGAAACACAAAGCTAAAAAGTGGGAAATCAATATTGGGCATTAATATCGGCCCAGTTTTACATATCGAACCGATACTGATATTCTAAAAAATGACCAATATCGTCCGGTACCGATATAAAAGCCGATATATCATGCATCCCTACTTTTTTATAGTATGAGTGACTCAGCAAAAAAATGAAGCAATTTTTCTATTAGACATTAAATACAAAACTCACTCATTCAAAAGAAAAAAAATTGGTTTGTCTATAAATATGTTTGAATTATTTTGTTTCAGATGGAACACGGGTCCTTTTGACAACCTGTCTTCGTACTTAAATGACAGACAGGAGAAAAGTGTGAGTTGACCCAGCATGCCCAGTTTTTTTCCAAGCTGTTTTTTTCCAATAAGACAGATCAGTTAAATTGACTTTAAGTAATTCCATCATTTAAGTCAATTTTAGCTTCCAGTGTAGTGATAATTTTAGGACAAACAAGATAGAACTTGACGCCAACCGTTGCTGATGTCCCCATCGCCATTCAGTAGTGACTAATTGTTACCAGTCTTGTTGGAATCATCACAGGCCTTCATTGTTTAAATAATCTCATAAGGTGAACAGGCAGATGGACGGACGGACTGATGGGGGGCTAAAGTGATCTTGTCAACAAATGGGTTGAGAAGGTCTCCCTTTTGATGCACACAAAATTTGGTTCAGATCAGATCATGTATGTGTGATTTAGAGCCAACCGTATGACAACGGTGTGATGTCTAATTAGGCCATTCCAGCTCCCGAAACCAGACAGATTGTTTCATTTTTATGATCTGAAATTAGTCTTTACCCCAAAAGATTATGCAACATTAGATGGAGTAGATGTTATATAGTTTAAAGAAAGTGTCATCAAATTCTGCTCAGAAGGCCAGAATTTTCAAAAAATGCCGGGCCAGCAGCCAGGTTTTGTTTATGAAAGTCTGAGACACTGCTCCAACTTTTCTGTTTTGGTTGTGGCAGTATGTGAATCTCTATACGTAAGCTGTAAACATACAGAAAATGCTAAAAATTATGAAACAAATCAAGTTGTATGCTAAATAATTTAATGTAATGTATTTAAAAAAAGGACAAAAATATAACTTATTTCATGGGCAATAAGCCAAGATCAGCAAGAAAAATAATCAAATCTTATGCTGGACTCAAACCATGCTCTTCCACATTTTAGCACTACTCACATCCCACTGAGCTAAACAGCCAGAGGTCCCTGGCTGGCTCAGATGCAAGTTTTCTAGCTACTTGTGTGCTGGTGTCTGAGTAGGGCTGTAAGTGTGCAAACTGTGTCAGATTATGTTTTATTAATAATCTAAAACTTTGTGGGCCAAAAGTAATGAGTTTCAAGGCTGAATATGGCCCACAGGCTACAACTTGACTAACATTGTTTTACAGTCTAAGAGAAATGTATCATCACTACCCAGGACTAACAATAAACTGCTGTAAACCCTACATAAATAATAAAAACCCAAAAATAGATTGGGGGTGGAACTGATCATTTGTTCTAAATCTTGAAAATGATGGTTTGGACACAAAATCTATTCAAATAAATGCTTAGAAAATTCAGTTTGTGTTCACTAATGTGTTTGATAATTCTTTAGAATAAATAATATAGTTTGTGGACTAATATAAATGAGACACAAATTAGGACATGAAGTTGGACACTGAATGTCTGACTGCAAAATTTCCTCTAAAAAACACGAAACTGCTGCTTTAGGCTTCATACATTTATTATAGAAAAAAGGCAAATGAAGAACAAAAGTCAAAGCAGCAGGAGAAAAAAATAGTTAAGACTATCATCTGCACCGATTCAAAGACATTGCTATTTTAAAAAACAAAACAAAAAAAAAATATAAAGGGTTTTTACAAAACACTCTTTTTGAAAAAAAGTAAAACATGTTGTTTATCATTAACACTAAAGAGTATGTAAACATTCTACCAAAACCATAATGAAAAATCTATGAACAATACTTCCTTTTTCTAGAAGAAATGACAAGCCAAAGTATTATCTGTAAGGGAATAATTTAAGGGTGTGTGTTGTGTGAAACAGTCACAATACGCAGGGCCACTGTTTAGCAGTTCAAGAGCAGTGCTTACAGCCTGGGGCGTGTGCAGGGGCCAAAAGGGTTTGCTGGCACACAATAAAAAAATTTTCAACACACAAATACACACACACAGACACAAAGAACAAAAAAATAAGCTCATAAAGACAGAGATATCCACACACATACACACACACACATACAAACACACACGCAGCCCTCCGGTCCTGATCAATACATGACAAGAGTAAATCTCCTCCGGACGTCAGGCAGTCCAATCAAAGGGCTTGGTGTTCTTATAGGGGATCACAAGAGCCAGGGGGAGACAAACAATGATGTGAATCCTCAACAACAGCACAATGGCCTCAACAGCTTAGGGTTATGGGAATGGAGGAGAAGTGTAACACAGGCATGATGTGTATTTCCATGCAACACAGTTTTCATTTAAAGTTAGAACAGAACATGTAGATTTGTTTTCCTTCACAATACGTCTGCATGTCTGCAGGTAGCATGATTACACAAAAGAAGGGCCACATGATCTGTTACCTGAACAAAACTGGATGACCATTACCATAACATTCGGAATGGAAGCAAAACAAACCTTATATACCTGAAAAATTTCTCAGACTAAAATAAGCCATAAAAAGGCAATAGGTGTTTTATAACTTTTTCAAAATCTGCCCTGTGAACGAAAGCAATATAAAGTTATAAAACTGTACTTTGTCTATAACCTGTCAACCACTTGATTTATTTGTGTGCAGAAAAAAAAGATCTGCCATTGTTATCTATCTGCCAAGCCCTTTTCTCTTTTGACAGACAGGTGTGAGCTGAACAGAAGTGATGGACAGTGTTTATCAGTCTCTGGCAGACACACACAGATTGACACAAGCACCACTTGGTGATGAATTAGACTTAAACGAAGAAAACAGTGACTGTTTTTAAATGTTAAACAACACTTTGACAGTGGTGGCTTGTTTCATTATATATAGAATTAAAGTGGACATGCACAAGGACACATTTATTATTATGGTGGCCATGGCTGTGGTTGCTGTAGGTTTAAAAGGTAATGGTGACACCTTGCACGTAAATAGTATATCCAAGCTTAACTATGGACACTCAGAGGGTTTTGTATGGTGGGTGGAGATGTGCAAGATGTGAGTTGTGCGTTTTATTCTTGTTTCAGTTGGACATTTAGCAAAAAATTAACAAAATATTATTGTCTAATTAAACCAAGTTTTAACTGGGCAAATTAATCTTCCTAATGAGTTTGATTTATTGTCTGGAATCAGACATATTTTGATTCTTCGCTCATTTTGATAAATAAAAACAACAACAACAACAACAATGTATACTATTCTTTGTAAAATAAATGACCAGAAAACAAATAAAGCTAACGTTTTACTTTAAAATTAAGTTCTCTTGAAAACAACAGTAATGTGCAACACCTCAAAAACCTCTTAATGTTTAGAAGTTCCTCTGATACTATACTCTTTATATACAATAACAGGCAGAGCTGCGATTTCAGATTTCAGAAGATGTCCCACATCACACTGCTGCCCCTTATTCTGATGTTCAATATATGATGTAACCTTTGGGATTTTGGGTTGAAGCCTGGACAGGGTTAAGCCTTTTAAATAAAAAAGTAAGCATTCCTCTAACTTATCAAGGCATTAACTCCATGAACACATCTTTAAAAACGTCATCACAAAATTTATAATGTTCATATCGCTAAACATAATAGTGTGCACTGTGATGAGTGAAAATAGCCTCAGCTTAGTTTGCTAGGAACTGTTCTATTTCTATATTTAAGATATTCAGGGTCAAACAGAAATGTTCCCTCCCTGGAACTACAGCAAGTTGTTTATTGCTTTCATAATTACTATTGTTTAATATTTGCAGCTGTTCTTTTGGGTTTAGACCGGCAGAACTGTGAGTCATGAATGACCTACAGCCAAATTCAGTCAGCAGTCTCTGTGTAACATTCAGTTGAGAAAAGAGTGATAAAGTAAAATGTCTACTGTCAAAGAGATGTTATACAAAACCACCTAATACAGAACTGGCTCAAACTGATGGGAAATTTAGTTTGAATTGCTTCTATTGTAGAAATGTGTTACTTATTGGGCCTCGTTATGCCCCAAACACCCAACAACTAACTCACCAATGTAATACCTTTAAAACAAATAACTGACGAGCTAAAGGAAACACCTCAATATACTGGTTCAAGATAAGTTTTATGATTTAAATAGGATAACTTTGTATGCCCAGTTTTACTACAGCACAGTACCTTGATGAAACAATGAAGCTGCTCCAGCTGGGAGTAGGCCTGACCAAGCTGTCTCTGAAGCCTATCCAAGGCTTGGGAGCTCTGCTGGGTCAACCCTTCCATTTGCTCAGTGGCGGTCCGTTCCAGGGCAGCCAAAGCCTGCTCACTGGATCCCACACGACCCTGAAGGGTTTTTATTCGCTGCTCCTGAGAAAGAAAATAACAGGCAGAACGGGTCAGCTGAAAGCAAATGTTTATGAATTTTTTTATGAAAAAATAACAAAAACAACAGAAAACATACATGTTTTGAGACATTTATGCTTATTACTTAAAAATAGACTTTGATGTTCTAACATTAAAGACTCCTATTGATTTTAGGACATAAATAGTTTGTTAAAAGAAAAGCTAATTTGTTAACAGCTGTAACACTGAAAACATTACAGAAAATATAATTTTAATCAGAACCAGTGTTGTGGTTGTTTCTAACCTTTTTCTCAAGGTCCTCTTTTAGTTTTGCACAGGAGGTTTCATACTGACTTTTGTCTGTTGTTGCAACATTCAACCTTCTCTTGAGAGATTCAATGTAGGCTTTCCTGTTGGTGGCCTCTTCCGATAAAGTTTTCACCTTTGCAAGGAGAGAATTAAAAAAGGGTTATAACACCGAACACTTGTGTATGCTAAACAAACTAAAATGTAGACACAGTGTTGCTACACTTGATACTTTACTTTATATCCATATAATAACATACATTATTAACCAATGGAACTCACTGTTCTAATTTTTGGACCAGCTTTAAGCTCCACCCACTTTTCTAAACACAATTAAAAAGTTACATTTCTTTTATTTAGAATGAAATGGCAAATTACAGCTGAATGTATCAAAACACCAGTAGATCCTAAAAGGCATTGATCTGATTATTATGCTAACTTTTAATAGAACAATGTCATTTTCAGCAGGAAAAAGGGCAAGAGCTTTAAAAAACAAACAAGAAAACATTTGTATTGAGTTAGTTAGATGGCCCTGATAAAAATGTGATCTGCTTCAGGCCCCAGGGATAAAGCACTTTTTCAGGCTCTAGTACATTGTAATGTGTAGAAACATTAAACAATTAAATTTGTGAACCAGAAACAAACAAAAAACAAACAAACAAACAAAAAACAAACAAACAAACAAAAAACAAAAACAAATTGGCATTTTAAATCAGCCATCAACTGCCATGATTTATAAAGTGAAAACCTAATCAGTCAACCTTTAGCATTTGTGACCCATCACATCAAAATGAGGATTAAGTCAAATTTGGTCAAAATGACCTAATTATATTTTCAGATTCCTGGCTTTAAAAGCTACATTTTGATACTTAGATCATCCTGATATCATTAGTAGATCCAGAGATATTCTTTAATTTGTCTTGTTGGTTACAATAATACATAAATATTTGGTCTAAATCCTAATTTTATGTAATTTTAATGAGGATTTTTTTTACGTCTTTTTAAAAAAGAAACCTCAAATAGTATTTGAGTATTGAGATTTCCCAGCTGGAAAAAACAAAAGCTTTGATAGCTTACAGTGAAAATCTCAACATTTTAAGGTGTTTTTCCTCAAAATCTGTTTTTTGGTTGCTAATGCTCAAAAAAGTGCTTCAAAAAATTTTTTTGGGATAATATTTTAGACAGTTCATTAAAATGATACATTGATAACACATTTATTTGTTATATTTTGACAAAATATAATTTTTACAAGCGTTTTAATCAAAACACTGTACTGTATTTGCCTGTTTCTCCACATACAACTTTTGGACTTAATCCTCGTTTCGATGTGATGGCTCACATTTATTTACAGTTTCATTCACATTTAATTAATGAATATTTAATAAGTTAACATAATAGTGGCTGAAAGAAATTTCCTTTTGTTTTTAGTGTTTCAGAAGAAATAAACACCAAACAATGAGAAATTTTGCATATTACTTATCATTTATACTCTACCGAAAGCCAGCAAAGTAGAAGGACTGTGCTGTATGATGAGCTGTAATTGTGTGTACCTTCTTTTCTAGCTCCTCAACATGATCCCGGTAACTTTTCTCCGTCTCCTGCAGGAACTTCAACCTTGTCCTCAAGTCCTCCACTAGCTGCCTTTTCATGGTGATGTTTCGTTCTGTATGACCCACTCTAAAATAATCCATGAAGAAATGCAAATATGAAAGAGGTCATGTTTACACAGATATTTGTATTTTGCACTCAAACTGCCTCAATTTACAGCATCTGTTTAGGTAGGAGACTTAACACAGACATAACACAGAGGCTGACACAAACACACACACAGACAAGCAAAGCTGGCAGGCACTGTGTCCCAGTGCGCTACATCAGGCATGACAGCTCATTATGACAACTAAATACACTGGCATGCTGTTTTGGGTAAGTGGAGGGGTGTAAAATAGGGATGCATATATAATTCTAACCGGCATATATTAGAACAAATGCTCTGGCAGGGAATGCCGCTTTAAGTGTGACTGGGGAGTCCTTTTGACAAACGGCCTTTTGAATCAGCAGTGACACTACTTGAGAGACTGTAACCAGGCATTTAAATGTTTATTACGTTCAGCTCAGCATTAGCAGTGATGTAAAAACCATCAGAAGGCAGTCCTTCCACAGAAAAATGTTATTTATAGAAGAAATACGTGAAAAAAATGCTGTTTGTTTGAGCGACGCTCCCTTAAGAGAGAAACAATGTCTCATTCTTGGAAACCGTTTGTGTCTCAAGTGTTGAAAACATGCGGTGTGTGTCACTTCCCATTTCAATAATCTTCTCTATTTACATGCTTAATATTCCTGAATTTTGCACCGAGGCCTTCTTTTAAGTGGTCTGAGTATGTTAGCATGTTTTATTCTGTTTTCATAAAAGGCAGATTTAAAGAATTTTCATGGTTGTCAATACCGTAGGGAACTGGAACAAATAGAATAAAGATCATAAGGATGCAGTTAATTAAGTGGATTTGCTTTTTTAATTTCAAAGTAGTGGCTTTTTTAGCTCACACACACATCATGTTGTCCGTGTGTGAGCTTTAAATAAACAGATGACGCAATGCTACAGCAAATGCTTTCATGTGAGCAAATGTCCCCGTCTCTCTAGGTGGATGAATGCCGCAGGGTTGGCTGGTTAAATAAGTGTGAGCTTGTCCTATTGGAGTGACATTAAATTAAATGAGAGAGGAGTCTAGCCTGGGGACTTTGGGGTGGGAGAGAAGTAGTGCTGGCTGGTTACCCCATGGATTTGGCCATTAATGAGAAAACCCATATTGAACCTTTCAGATGACTGTCTGGTGTTGACTTAAAGACGAAGAGCAGCAATAAGAGCCCCAGCAGCTCCCTCTGCCCCAATGCTAATGGCAATTAGACCGACAACATTTATTTTAGATGTTCTTTTCTCCCACACCCCAAAAAGAATGAAGGATAAAAAAGAATGAGGGATGTATGGAACTTCAGCTGGAGCGTGTGATCTCTATTTATGAGTGTTAGTGAAAAGAGAAGACGAGAGGCTCAAACTATATCCCGATCACTTGCACGTTTGTTCCCTTTGTTCTGTGCTTGTTGGCTATATTGTTCATCAAACATGCGTGTATTGTAATAACAACAGTCAGTGGTCTGAAGAAAGTGAGTAAAAAGGGAGCGAGAGCACACTTTTCTGTGTATGTTGTTAAGGATGAAGTGCAGCTGGATGTTTCATGTGGCTGATAGACAACAGGGCTAAAGATGAAAGAAGCAGCTTCATAAATAAGGCAGGGCCATAGTGCCGGATATTGACTGAGGACATGCCGGTGTACTTTGAAATTCATTTCTTTTTTCCCCCCTTCTCTCTTCTTTAAGGCGAAGCAGCCTTGCTCCCTGTGTGTGTGCTGAGATGTATATTTCAGGGATGTCTAGACATGCCTTTCATTCTGAGAAGGGGTCCCTCCATGGAGGCAAACGGAGTGGTGGGCCAGAGGAGACGTGGAGTTACGAGTGTGTGCATGAGTGAGGGTGTGACAAGAGATGGAGAAGAGGCAGAGGATGTCGCACAAACAGAGCTGAGGGATGCTCACTCTGTCGGCCTGTGATCCTCCATCCTTTGGTCACACACAAACACACATCTGCTCTGGTTGTACACATGCACTAGATGCATTATTGAGAATGTCAGGCAGAGGACAGAGCATGCCAGACAAACACAATGACAGGAAAGCCAAGTTGTTCTTTGTACCTTCCTTTAGGTTCAAATGCAAGATGTAGTTCAAATCTCATCCATTTCCCATGGTGAATTTTGTATAGCTATGCAATGGGACTGTGTTTTCTAAAAAAAGCTGCAATAAGTGAATCATAGAACTCAGTGGGTCTTGTGGCCCACAGGCCAGAGTGCTGCTGTGTGGGTTTTGGTGTCATGGGCCAGAACAGTCCCTGCTGCAGCACAGAAAGAATCAATGCAAGGCTTTGATCAGTTCTCCTCATTAACTGCAGATATAAACATCAGCAAACTACATCATATAAAAACACCCACATAAACACACGCTCGTGTGCACTATTTTTGTTGTTGTTTTAAATCACTCGGTTATGAGGCCCTGTAAGTGATTCACAGTGGTGAGAAACACGCCTAACAGGAGTGCAGCAGGAAGTGGGCTGCCACACGGTGGAATCAAACCCAACAGATGAGAGCTGCGTCGAGAACTCTCAGAGACATGGAGAGACAAAGAAAAAGAAATGATGCATCTCATATCAGCGAAAAAAAAATAAGATTACAGAAAGGACAAGTTGCACTAATTAAGACAAAGGTGTGAAACAAACTTGTCTTGCAGCTGGCAGAGCTTGTCCTCCTTCTCTTGGAGCTGGCCTCGCAGGGCTTTGTTAGTGGCCATCTGCTTTGCGACTTCGGCACTCGCGCACTGGGGAGAGGGCACACGGCGTGTGTGTGTCTGTTAATGTGTTTGAGTGGGTGTGATGAGGGGGTTGGGAAGGTTTTCACAACACAGCTGATGGCAGGTCAAGCACAGCATGCCTCCTCATTATAGTTACAGTGGAAGGGTAGAAGGCGCTAAAAGAGGTTAACAGGAATACTTTATTCTTCAAGGTAGAAAAGGTAAAGTGAAGTAATTGGTGAGAATAACAATTTATGAACCTTTAGTACTACATTTGTTTTACTGTAACTGAATACACACACAAAATTCATTATTATTATATTAAAATGTTTACCAAACACTTTGTAAGAAACTTTATTTTCAGAAAAGTACAATCTTACATCTTACTAATATTTAATGTGCTCGTTTAGGTTGGGCACTCCCCACAGTGTCTCTTTCTTAAGGTGTCACTTGCCATGACATCATCAAATGTGTGTAATGACAGCAGCAATCTGCTCGTGTGACACTGATGAGCTGGGTGCTGAGAGGGTGATAACGCTGCGGCTCACTTCCTTCATCACTCCCTGTGATGTAGGGCACATTGCTGTGTGTTTTTCTCCATTTCCAATCCCCTGACAGTTACTTCGAAATAGGATCAAATGATAAGAAATGATAATTCATGTTGAAATCACAATTTCAGGAGATGTTTGGTTCAAATTGAAAGAAAAAAAACATTTGCTCTCATTTTCTTAAAATATTAAAGTAAACCGTGGCAGGTGCTTCTTTTATAATTTTAAGAGTTGCAAAATATTCGGTTAAATGTGAATATGTCTTAGAACTAATATGTGGTAATTTTAAAAAAAATTGAATACATTTATGTTTAATCCCAAACTGATGTGTGATGTTTTAGTCTTACAAATAAGCAACAAAATTAATATCACTATAAAAACAGTATTAAAATGTTTCATTTGTACTATTTACACACAGAAAAGGATAGGGCTACTTTGAATTTATTTTTAACCTTATAATTCTGATCCTTGAATTCTTGTTTTTATTATAAAACACACTCAAGCTTGAAGGCACACAAAATTAGGAATGAGCATTTAATACATTCATCCTATTAGGAGATCTATGTCAAAAGGCATGCAGAAAAAGGCAGAGCATGCTGACAGTTGATTAACTCTATAACCACTGACCTTGAGTTTGGCTTGAAGTTGTTTGACCTCAGCCTCAAGGGTATGGGAGGCAGGGTTAGCTGGGGCAGACATGGTTCTGCCCTGGCAAGAACACTCAGTGTTTACCGCTGCTGCTGGTGGTGGTGGTGGTGGTGGTGGTGCAGTTTGTGGAGGAAATGTAATCCGCTTCCACTGCTCGAGCTCCATCTCCAAAACTTTTTTCTGCTGCTCCACGCCAGCCAGGTCAGAGGTCAGTTTCTGCAGAATTACCCACAGACAGGACTGATGAGGTGGGCCACTGGTGATGATAACAACTAAAAGTAAAAGTTCTGACTACTTATAACAAAATGTAGAAATATCTATTTTTAGGGGTTGGTCAGACATGAAATGCAATCAGAGCTTCAATATATGATTAATTGAACCAAGACACAAAACACGACTGCACGGACGAGCCTCAGCTTAATTTAGAAAAAGACCAACCTTTTTCCATGCTACTTGCAGTGATATTTTTCACTTTGTTTATGGACAATCATATGAAACAATGTCATAACAAAAAAATACACAGTCATACAATTTAATATACACTCTTCCATTATATTGATTTCTTTGAATTTAAATAAATTAAATAAATCACTGCATTCTATTTATGAAAACTTTTCCTGTTTAACTTTTTTCACTGTACTAAGTGAACTCACTGTAAAATATTTTAACAGCAACTCTGTACAACTTTGAAGTAAGAACCAATGAGTAGATGTAGTGGAGGGGTGATTCTAGAAAATAGGACTCAGTGAAAAGCCATTCTGTAGACTCAGAGCAATTTGGAATTGAGGGAGAGCTGCATTTAAAAAGTGGTTAGATTGATGAATTATAATGACACAACCTGATAATGTGCAACCCAATACTGTGAAATATTCCCATTCAAAATAAACACTTTTAACCACATGTGTGGTGGATATTTGAAAAAAAAAAAGCATAACTACTGTTTATTGTAAAGTATACAGTGGACTAGAATCGCATCATTGTACCTTTGGCTCAATATTATAACAATTATCTGCTATGGAATCATGTCAAACATTAAAATGCTTAATGGCACAAACAGGAGACCCGATCCATGGAAAGATTTCTGCACATATACAAGAATGCAGGAAAACACACAGAGTCAGAAACACACACAGCCAAGTGAAACCGCAGATTCCCAGGGGTTTGCTCTGTGCTCTGCATACATGGAGGTTATTGATATCTGGTTGCTGGCTGACACCTTTTAATAGAATCCCTCTTGTTTTAGGTTTCCTCTGCTCTACTGAAGACACAAATGCCGTATCCCCAGAGAGTGTGGGAGAGACGGAGGAAGGAGTAGAGAATGAAAAGTGGGGCTGTGGCCCCAGTGGCAGCAGTGCACGAATTAAGAGAGGCATTGATGACACTTCCTGTAAGACAAGCTTTGATTTCACAGGCCATTTTCAGCTCTGGTGAGAGATGACACTGACATGGACTACTCACACTGGTAGTCCCATTAGGAAGAGAGAAAAGACACCTCTCTCTGCTTTTCTTTCTCTTTGTATTCTGAGCTGTGGTCTCACTTTAGAATAAACAAATACAGTCAGAAAGAACTCTGTACTTGCAAAATAAAATAAAAAATCACAAACCAAAAAATGGAAAATTAGTGAAATATCAATGTACAAATCATCTTCCTCCTGATTTCAGTTCAAAAACAAAGCTATTTTACTTCGGCTGGACATTAATAATACCACATAATGAGTTGTGGAAGTACTCAACTACTCTCTAGTAGTTTAGTAGCTACTTGTATTATCTAAAATTCAAGCTTTTTGCAAGGTAGTGTAGACATTTATTTACTCTAATTTGACACACCTAAAGTTTCATCATTTGGCTGTGGTGTTAAATGATTCAAGTGTCACAATTTTAAAGAACATTTTACAGCTAGGGGTAACAAGTTGTATGGCAAAGGCACAAAAATATTAAATAGTAAAAATTACAACAATTTATTTCAGTAGTTTATATACTTCCAACTTCATATATAAAGAAAAGCAGAAGAAGACACGAAAAAACTGAAGGCATAATCCTAGAATGCATGACTTAATAAAGGAGGGAGGCAAGAAATGAAGCAAAAGGAGAGGACAGAATGGCTGAAGGATCAAGAGACAGAGCAACACAAACAAGTCTCTGGGAAACTGCCATGCTACCTATCACATGATGGCCCCTGCGGAGACTGTCCTAAGCCAATTACAAGCAGAGTTTTAGTTAGAGAGCCGGCCAGGAGTGGCTGGAACAAGTCCAAAGTCTATCACCTCTTGCCCTTTCCAGAGAGGGCAACAAGACCTAGCTTTGACCAGTCGGCTCCAACTTTCTCTGGTGGAGTGGCATTAATACTGCAAGAGGGAAGAGGAAACAAACAGGAAGACAACAATTCCCCCTCTGTCCACTCATTCACTCAACAGTGAATGTGTATGTTTGTGTGTGTATACACACCTGTGCCTTTACACTGTGTCTAAGGTCTCATTGGGTTTCAGCAATGCCTGGTGGGTTAACGAGGGCCACTTCCTGGGTGGCAATGTTATGAAAGATGAACTTTGACTCATGAGTCCTCAACACTGTCTTCCACTCTACTGTTTTGCACAGTGAAAATACAGACATGTACCTAATTATATGTTCAACTGCTGCAGCTGTGTCTGAATTCACCAAAAGAAGTCTCCTGCGTATAAAATTAATGACCGTATCTGTCAAACTGTTGGCATGTGTGTATGTGCCCAAATATGCTGATGTTTACAAGGAGGCCTTGACAAGAAAAAAAAAGATTTTAGGACAAATGTTTCTGTGTTTTATTTATACTGTATTCCAAGTCTTAAAGTTTCCTACCTGACTGTAGACACTAAATAACTAAAGAGGTGTGTAGCATGGGACTCTATAAAGCAACAGTCACCTTGTATGTTTCTGTGAGCACAAGTGCAGATATCGGAGGAATGGAACTGGAAGTGACATGTTGTTGTGGACAACTTGCTTGTTGAAACAAAACACAAGAGGAAACGGTGGCAGCATCATAAAGACACAAGGAAGGCTTTTGTTTTCCCTCTCTTCTGCCCTGTGGATCCAACTACCTCAGATAAGGGTAGGTCTACAGCATACTCGTTTAGGATAAATAATCAAAATAATATAGTAAAAACTGACTAACATTTAAAACTGGTCTTTTCTCAACTTCATCTCCCCGTCTAGTTACCTGTGTGAGGTGCTTGCTGCTGCTGAGTTGCTCGGTGAGAGCGCTGAGCTGTGTCGTGATCACCTCGTTGGCCCTTCGCAGCTCTTTGGCTGAGAGCTGAGCATCTTTCCTGGCACTCTGCAGGATGTCTATGTGGCGCTGAAGAGATTCAACGCGCTGCTGCAGAGAAGAGGAGGAGCAGTGCCGGGTCTTCGTCAACAACCTCTTCCTCCTCCGGCACGTTGGTTTCTCTCCTCTTGTCCCTGGCTCCCAGGGCTCATGCTGTTTATCATCTAACAGGAGGAAGAACGCGCAGCTGCCTCAGAGTTGACACGTGCAGAAAACCTCAACATCCCTACCTAGATGCTCCAGGGGGGTGTTAACAGGTGCACTGTAAAACTGTGATAAATTTAACTACAGTGATTAACATTTTTTATGGTTGAAAAAAACCACTAAACTTTTCAAATGCTTGTTTCTGATCTACAGAAAATAAATGTTCTGTTCGTGTGTTTCAACAGCTGATCATATTTTTGTAGTTTAGTGTGAATGCGAGAAAGTAAAACTTGAACTACCTTGGCCAAATACATCACGTTGATTTTTCCTGGATTCTGCTGCCGATGCTTCTGTGTTTGAAATCAGCGAACACCTATAGGGCTAAAAGAGCATGGAAGTCAGAGAGTATAATAAAAAAAGTATCTGTTTAATATTACACAGCAGTTGACATGTTGTGCTTTCTGAGACGGGAGTTGGAAGAGACACCGTGATCACAGGCTGTGCTCAGCTTAACGCAACAAGACAAATCACTCCGTGCTTAAATAATTCACCTGAGCATGTTCAACCAACTCCAACCTGACTGAGTCTCAGTGCGGAAATTACTACTGACAGATGCTTGCAAATGACGCCTTTGTTCAATCACTCCCACAGTGTGATGATTGTGATTTGCACGCACAAGTGTGTATATGACAACTCCCAACTGCAGCCCTGTTTGTAATGACATCAAAGTGGAGCACCCCACCACCGCAATTCTCCTTCCTCTGTGCTTACGCTCTTTGTATGACGGTCAGGTAAGATCTGATCAGAGGAAAGTTTGATCACAGGCAGAGAAGAGAGATGAACCCTTTGGTTTGTGACATGTTGTGAGGGACTTTGGCTGTCACAGAAATGTGTCGAGGCAGAGCTGACGGGCATCTAGAAAACGCAAACTAAAGAGGGAATTGAAAAAACAGAGGTCCTGACAGCTCCCAGGTTACAGATGCAACACTGTTCTCTTCCTATCCTCGTTCTACCTTGCTGTACTCATTGCAAAGAAAAAGAGAAAGAGAAAAAAGGACATTTTTAAAAGGACTTTGTCTTTCCTCTCATCTTGACGGACTTTTCTCTCTTGGGTGTTGAGCTACAGTGAAGTGGTTCAACATGGACAAGTGCAAGGGTCCAGGCCTATTGATTTCAGTGTGAGAAGATAAAAAACAAAGAGACAATGACAGCCACCAACACAAGTACGTCATTGTGAGTGGAACTAAAAGAGTCTGACCTGTTTAAAGTGTGGACCGAAGTTTGGAGGTGAAAAACACTATAATAGTGTATCATGTAATGAAGGGGTGCATATCACCTGCTGCCTTGAATGCGCAATATTTAAACAAAATGTGTAATTTGTTAGTATTTGGATTGCAGCGTGATCATTTTCTGAGGGTTTCACTAAAATCTTTTTGCTGGTTAATGCAAAATTTTGGTAAATGACACACAAACACATAATTTTAATCTTTCAGGGTGGTGGGCAATTACTATAAGAGCAACAATGAAATGCAGGTTTAAAATCACTGATAATAATATGCAAAAATCACATTATGACCAATTTTATCAAACACATGCACGCCAACCCTGATGATCCTGCTGATGATACTGTTCTTTTTTTGTCTGATTTCAATATTGAATCTATTAATAGTCAGTTACAAGCAGATCTTCAGACATTTCATGGTTGGCTTCAAGATAATCTTTTGTCAGTTAATGTTAAAAAATACTGTGTGCATGTATTTTTCCTCACCCAGGAGACATTTCAATATAACAAATCAATTCACTTTTTTAAACAAACCCCTTGATATTGTCACTACCTACAAATATCTTGGAATTACTTTGGATTCTCATTTAACTTATTGTGATCATGTACAAGTCTTAACCACTAAGTTGAAACAGAAATTATACGTTTATTCAAAAATTAGATCCAATCTGACATCTTCTGTTTCAAATATCTATCTTCATGCCAAAACAAAATGAATATAAAACAATTAAATGTGCAGACACTTCTAATTCATTTATGAGCTGACTATTCACAAAAACAAACAACAAAAACTTGTTTTGTAAACTAAAATCGGCAGGAAAAGTCACAGCTGAGCAGAGAAGCTTTTTTTCTTGTTCTATTTTTTAACCTATTTTTATTTATTAGACAAGAAGAAATACCAACCTTTCCAGAGGTGTGATGTCTATGAGCTGCTGTCCCAGAGGGTACCCTGTTGAGACTATCGGAGTACTCCTCACCACTGTCACTGTAGAGAAAAGATAAAGTTTATTTATTTAAAGACAACAAGTTTTAACCTGCAAGTGTGGTTTAAAAAAACACTGCTGAACCAAAAAAAAAAAAAATCCAATTTACTTTTTATGGTTGATTTAGTTGACATCAAGCAAAAATATGTGCATTTCTACCCCCCTCTTTCCAACAGAAAATCAATGTCTCGTCCAATTTCTGAGCTAGAAGTGTAAATGTGGGTGTGAATTAAGTGAAAAGCTGCAGTGTCTGATGCTGTTGGTGAATGCATCAACATGTATGAGAGTGGCTGTGGCCTTCATTAGCCCTCCGTGTGTGACAGACATGTGAGGGGCACGGCTGAGCAGAGCCATGCAAACTTGCATCTGATAGACGCACGGTAAGGGCTTCCTGAGACACACACACACACTTTCACACACACACAGGCACACAGGTTTATTGACAGTGACCTTTGACGTGAAGGTGGAAGCCAGTGACATTTACGCTGGCGGGTTTATTAAGGTGGGGCCTGGGAGAAGCAGCAGAGGTAAAGACCACTGAGAAAGGATCTAACTGGAAGATGACATGGCTGGGGGCTAACCGGGGTTAAAATCAGTCTGGTTTGAGCTCAGGAACTTGTTGAGGATTACTAATCACCATTTCCAGACACCAAAGTTCCATTCATTCAATAAAGAAGTTACCCAGTTGATAGTGGTGAGATTAACATGTTTAATTTTTAAAAAAAATATTTTTTCTTTTTTTTTCTTTTACAGATGATGAAAATCATTTGTGTGAATAGAGAACTTCAATCCCCAAAAAAACATTCAAGGACTTTCAACGACAAGTGTAATTTTTGGCTGTTTTGACAAACTTTCCAGGGCCTTGAAATCAGCTTTTCAAACTTACAAACTTTCAAGGATTTCAAGGACCCGTGGGCACCCTGTTTCTAAGATATTTGTGCCTTCTGTAATTTGTCACCAGACCTTGTAATTATCTGCCTTTGGGATACACATTTAAAATAAATAATCTCAATTCCCACAATAACTGGCTCTAATTTGGATCTGCTCAAAAGAAATAATGCTGACACTTTCAGAAATGTCAGCTACATCCAAATTTCAACATTTTTAAAATAAGTAAGAGGTACTTATGAAGAAGAAAGTTTGACATCTTTATTTGACGTTATTTAGGCTAAAGCTCCTGTGACAAAAACACTGCATTTCTGAGAGCTTATAGCAAACATAACTTTGAAGAGGTGCCTGAAAGATGAGAAACACAGAAGGCATTACAGTTTCAAATCAATTGGCAGGTGCCTTAAATAAGACAACACCTCAGGTTAAACCCCTTTGTTCACAAATCCGCTTAGATCCTCCTCTCAGGTAAAGCGTTTATTAGACGGCTGCTTATTAGCCACATAGAGAGGCATTAGGAAAGCTGGGCATTGCTGCACCCAGTCCCTATTAAATGGCCTCATGTGGATAGAGCTGGTGTGGATTACAGTGTGATGAATTAGTTGGTGAAGGGATGGTGAGTAAGCAGGACTGAGGTTAGAGAGAGACCTAAAGAAAGGCATACAGGAAGAAAAAAAATAGTGTTTGATAACCATCCTCTTCTCAATAGAAGTTGTCTGAGTGGCCTTTTTTTAAGCATGAAACATACATGAAATATTTACTGTCAATGGTTCTTAATTTTGAGTGTGTTAAACAGCTTGTAGACATCTGGTACTGATTCAAGTCGGGTCATTCAAAATTTATCTAACCAAATTAAGGCAAGCAGAAAAGAGAGGAGTGTGGGTCTGTATGTGTGTGTTGGGAGGTGGTTAAGGGGTGGCTGGAGGAAATAAGAACAGCGCGCACACACACATTCACACAAACTGACAAGCCACAAGATAACCAACATAACTAGACACAAGGTGTGATAGGCTTACAAGCATATATGGTTGTGTATGTATAAATGGTGGGTCCTTGCAGTGGGATCCTTAGTGCCGTCAGGGGGGTTTGTAAATATGCAAAGAACCAGTAAATTAAATCAAACTGCCAAACTGTCAATTTCGGGGTAGCGTGACTAGCTCATGAAAATGGCATCACTGGAAGGTATCAAGGCTTTGGCGGCCCCCTTATCCCTGGGCTTTTCTGGCATCCGTTCAACTTTGTGTAGAGAGGTGGCTAATTTTGCATGCAAATTTCAGTCAATAAGCTCCAAGCAAGTCGTCCCAGGATATTTCAAAGGATCTGACAGTAGATTCTCCCTCCTCTCTCCTTCTCTCTCTATCATTCTTGCTCACATTCTTCTTTTGGCTCCTGAATACCAACTAGACAGACAATGAAATTCAATCACCCATTTGCTTACACTTTTGCATATGCACGTTGTCCCCTTGATGCTCCATACCCCCACAATTCAGCCAGCCCTTCCTCTCAGTTCTTAGCTCCTAAAAATAATGAGGGGTTTGGAAGAGAATGAGTCTGCGCGTGTGCGTGTGCATCATTACCTATCTACACTCATGTCCTCCCACTCGTCCTTAGTGGGACTGGGGCTGCGGCCTTGCCAGCTGATGGCTTGATTGGAGCTGACTGTTCGGTGGCTGCGCTGGTGTAGAAGACCTCTGTGTCTGGCTGTCTTGAATTTGACCTTGCCGCTAATGCCGTTAGCAATCCCAGATGCCCGTACAGGTCCTGCTGCACGATTCCTGTAGAAGTCCCTGGCTGCTCTGACAATCCCCAGCTCTTGTCTCAGCTTGAGCAACTGATGATGAAGCTTGGTAATCTCTTTTTGAGACGTGGCCAGCCGGACTTCTAGAGCCACGATCTCACCACAGTGTTGATCCTCCTGGGCCAGGGCCTGGGCACGGGCCGCCTCATCCAGGACAGCCTCCTGTGTTCGCAGATGATTCATGGAGGCTTGGAGTCTGCAGCAGTTTTGGGCCAAGTCTTCGTTGGCTTGTAGTAACCGTTCTTTCTCTTCTCTCAACCTGTCCGTCTGCTCCTCCAGTGACAGTATTTTCTGCTCCAACTGCTCAGTCTGGAAGTATTAAACAGGGTTAGAAATAATATATTCTTTCACAATATGTTTTACAGTAGAAGTGGTTATGCATCAGAATTAACCCTATTTTGTTGATCTTCAGGATTTTAGTATTTTTTTTGAGAAAGGCCACTTTTGATTTGACTTGTGACATAAAATATCAGTGATTTCCCTCTCCCTCGAGGCTATGGACATTTGACTGGCACCCCTTTTACCCTGAGCTCCTTTAACTAGACAGCAACCAGGAGCACTTAGTCTTTTTGTTAGATCTTCAATGGAAACTGTTTAAGAGAACAGGGGCTGCCTGCTGGGTTTGTGCCTCCAGGCAATTTTTTCCCTTTTATTTGGTTCTCACACTGCCTGCTGGTGTAGCCTGATACCTTTCAAACAAAATTAGATGACGATTCTCATTCCTGATGATTTGCTGTCATGAAAGCTGAAATGAAGCAACGCATGTGTAAAAAATCAACCTCTAACATACGATTCACATTAAAGTACCATTTTCAAGAGAATATATTTGTCACTATTTATATATATTTTTTTGTAAATACAAAAGTACAACTTTCAGGCTGACACTTGGCTTTGAAGTGACTACAAAGTGGAAAAAGAAATACCTGAAAGAGCAAAAGCAAAATTTTCAATCGAGATCTCACTAGAGATGCATCTGTCAAGTTTCTATTATTGATAATGACAAGGAGCACTTAGTGATGGCATAGTGCCGTACCTTTTTAAATGACTGTTCCATTCGGCCTGAAGAAAGAGAAGCCTTAATCGCAGTGCTGCTTTTGACCCGCTGCTCCTCTGCCATTTGCTGAAGCAATTCTGCAAAGAGGAACAAAGCTTGTTATTGTGACACACTGTGTCAAAATCAGGTGAGTCAATCAATGGAATAATAATAAAAAGGATACATTAAATCAATTACCATTAGTAGGGTCTAATTTCTTTTGTGAGGTCTGGTTTAATTTTTTCTCCTCTTTTGTCAATCACAGCACAAATGCTATTTTTGTTCAAAGATTTGAACAGGTAAAATTCCCCTCCTGTTTGGAAAATTTTTACCAAACAACTCTTTTTTTTACTCCAGATTAACAAAAAATGTGTTTTATTCAGTCGTCCGCAAGGAAATAGAAAAACACTGTTCAAAAGCACAAGCTAGTACTTACTATGTGCAACCTCTCTCTAGGGATCTTAAACAAACCAAGAGCAGTGCTCGATTCCCAGGTGAACACACAGCCCCAGGCTGCACTGCTTTGTAGTCCATGGTGTTTCCTCTAAGGACATTTAATCTCCACAGAAAAAAACACATGCTGCTTTATTCTGGAAACTTCAATGATGGCATTGGCAAACATGTGATTTAGGTTTTATAATAGCAGAACCCAAGTAAAAACACACGAGTTCAGAAATATTACGCACACACACAATTCTACAAGCTATGGTGTCACTATCTGACACACAATATCTGCTAACATGTTTTGTTCACCTATGGGCAAAGGGCAATGCAAAACAATATAAAACTTTTTGCCTTTCGCTCTCTCTTGTTAAACTTTCATGACAAGACGACCAAAATAATTTGTACAATGAGTTGAGAACATCAAATATTCAGGACCTTGACTCTTCAGGTCAGTTGATCTTGTTGAGAATGAGCTAAAAAAAAGCCATTGATGGAGAAAGTAGAAAGAGAGCGGGCTCTGTTGTAAAAGAGCTGCTGCTCTCTTGCTTTGCATTGACGCCTTGCCCAGGAAAGTTTGTTACATTGAATTAGCCTGCCCTTTTGTCTTCCTTATGTGTCACATTAAATCACACGGAGCACCAAATAGGACAGGAGGGCTGCTGTGTTCATTGGGTACATAACCAGGTTGAGAGACAATTATCCAGCTTCAGCACGAGTGGCATGGGAGTTGGCACCTCAGCACTACCTTGATAAGAAGACGTGGTGACTCCCCAGTCACCTGCCAATGAAGGAGGTTCTGGCACTGCCGCATACATTAACGTCCCTCCCGTGTCTCCTCATAGGATGCAGCTCAAAAGCCGTGTTCCTTTCATCTGCCCCCTTTTGTTAGTGTGATCTTGGTGTCAGCTCTTCAGCTCTCCTCTTTTTTTGATTGGGTCACATGAGTTCTTCTACACTGTGGCCTCTCACACTTTCATTTCACACAGGAGTCCTCATTTTCAGGTTTGAAGCAAAAGCTTTATTTAGAGTACAAAAACTATCTAATACAAGAGGCATATTAATGAAAAATGCTTATTTTATTTGCCAAAATATCTTTTATTTGACAACTTAAACATAAAATAATATGAGTCGAACAATAAAGGCTTTTGTGCAACACTTTGAGTGATTACTTGTCAGTGCAAATGCAAGAAGATTTCCTAACAAGACCATCAATGGGAACAAATCCAGTATTTTAATTAGTGTTATCCTTTAAATCACATGCTTGCATCTCCAACAGATACCGGCTGTGAAGAAACTGAAAGTAATCTAGAGGAGATCTGTTATTGAACTAATTAATTATGGCCACTGGTTAAAGTGCTCAGTATTAGACAATGTCACAGGTTGGATTAAAAGTGATGTACTTTTAAACACTGAGGATGATGTATGCAGACAAGCTGGACACCATTTGATCTCCAAGTCAATTTGCCAGAAGTTGATAAAATCTTAATTGAATTGTTCTGGTAATTCCACTGGGAGTAGTGTTATTAATTCTCTTCAATGCACATTTCCCAGAGGCGACATGCAGTTGTCCACTGCCAGAGATGGAACCTAGTTGTTTTTTTTAACAGCTTGTGTAAAACAACTTATTGTAGAGATTTGCTGCAAGTTTATATTTCCAGACTAAAGGACAAAAAAAAAAAAAAACTGCAGGAAAAAAATATGGTTTAATTGTATTTATTTATTTTTACTGTAGCTGTCCTCTCCCTGAAACCTTGACAATAAAAAAGGTTTACCTTGATGATCATTCGTGAGACACATGTGGAGCTCCTTTACTGTGGCCCGGTCCATTGCAGCCTGCACTCGCAGCATGTCCAGTTCCTCCTCCAGGCCAGCTCTGCAGACATACGTACTGTGTAAACATTCTTCAGACAATTGTTACACTAATCAAATTTAAACTCACATTTAGAGGCTTACTAATGTGTGTTTTTCTATAATTAATCATTTTTAAAGAAAAAAATCAGTGATAAATAAGGTAAATGTTTTGGAAAGTGAGAAACAGCTCTAATTCTTGTTGCACTATTCAGAGGAGCATTTCAAAGTGTTTTATAGGACAAAAGCAAAACTTAAAACAGGAAAGAAAATAAATATATTTACATATTATTATATTTAGCATAAATAAACTATTTCACCACATTCTGTCTACATTTTCTGTGTGATAAAATAGATATTTTGTTCGTTTAAAAGAGGGTATATGGGGAAAAAAATCAACCACAAATACACAAAGTGGACAAAAGCAGCAGCACTAAAATTGTATTTCTTTTCTTTCACAATTTCCACACGTCAAGCTTTATTCCAGTAAAAAGAAAATCATTATTGTAAAAACTTTTGTACACTTTTTTTTCATGCTAAATGGATCAAACAATTAAAATTCTTTTTAGTCATCTGGAAATCAAAGTGACAAGAAACATGAAATGTTAAGGTAGGAAAGTACTCTGTGCATGTGTGTGTGTGTGTGTGTGTGTGTGTGTGTGTGTGTGCGCGCGCGCGCCTTAGACAAACAGGCAGTAAAGTGTACCCAATTACCTTTCTGCAATTAGCTTGATTCCTGCTAAAGGCTAATTATGTGGAGCCATGCTCTAGTCTTTGCACTTTCGAGCTATTATTAGGCCCCAACTGTAGTCTGTTGAGGATATACACAGGCCCACTGAGACAACCACACCTGAAACACACACCTAATTTCCCTCCCCTCTGCTCCATGGAGTCAAAGAAAAACACAAGAATCAAACTCCAACTATTCTAGTGACATTCTTCCCATATTTAACCCCATTACAAAAGACAGTTCTTCAGTTTGACTGACTTTTTAACGCATGTTCCATCGCAATGCGCTTGGGCTACAAAACAGTAGTTGTGGTCAGTAAAAACATTGACAAGTATCATTTAACTTACAGTGTGACTCCACCTATTTAATTTTCTTCATGTGCTTCTGCCTAGAAAATGTCATGGGACATAAAAGAAAAGGAAATAATAACTAATGAAGCCAACACAGTCCAGCAGCCTGGTCTAATTCCTAGATGTGGCTTGAATAAGTACACCAATGGCTCTCGCCCGAGGGGCAGGAAAGCAGATGGATATGTGTCGCTTCTGTATAGATTTTCCTCCATAAATGAACTCAAGTCGATGAGACACCGACAGTGCCTTATGTGTCCAAGCTGGTAATAGGACCAGAGAGCTGAAATATACAGTCGCAGAGAGAGCCTGTTCCATCTCATGTTTCTCTTTTATGCCTTTTCAGATGTTGATAGTATTGATGCTACACCAAAATTCATGTACAAAATATTCGCTTTTGTTGGATTTTCTCACTGTTTCTCAAACAGGAAAGAGATTGCATTTCAAATGGAGCACACTAGGAAAGGGTACTAGTTTCCCAACATAACACTCTGAAAGATGGAATACCATTGAACTCTCATTTACAACAACACTCAGTGGCTGTAGTGAGTGCTTTGTTAGCAAATAATGTCGAAATGTCAACACTACAGACGTTCTTATAGCAATAATACATGTTTTTAATATGCAAAAGGTCAATTAAAAATAAATTATTTTAAATGAAAATAATGTGGAAATTTAAATGTATTTGGTTGGTGTTTTGTTGTATTTTTGAGCTCTGCTAGTGGTGATGTTAGTGCTGTACTTACTTTGGTTTGAAGTAAAATTGCATAAATCACAGTTTATAACAGGTTTCATTTTGCATAAATCAACTCTGTAAAATGTAAAATATTACATTTATCATGTATTTCAATCTATTATTTTAAATTCCAAGCAAATACATTTAAAACTTTGTATTTGTGTTTTTATAATCATGTTCCTGGAAGTGAAAAGTGTTTGCTTTTTGTCTTTGTGAATGAATATTACAAAAATTAACATATGTGACCAAACAAGCATAAAACAATTTAGTAGTGTGTTTCTTTAAAAATCAAGTTTGATTTTAATGTGTCAAAAAAGAAAGATATGTTTGGACAATATTGCAAGCCACATTAGTAATCAACTTATGTCCACTCAACAGGAGCTGGAGTTCAGATTTAGATAATCAAACTGCAGCTGGCCGTTCTTAAGACAAAGGATAATATGTCAGATGAGAATAACTAAGCAATTTTCAGTTTATTCTTAACTTGGTGCTTTCGCTCAAGGTATAAATTTGAATCCATAAAAAATAGGTGGTCATCAGAAACAGTAGGCAACAGCTAGGTCATTTATTTGGTAATGATGTGCTCTACTTTGTCTCCTGCTGCTCTTTTGCCCCTGTTTTAATAAACATTTTTGCTCTCATGCAGTGCTTCAACTTCTGCCCTGAGCCATCCACTCCACGTCATTTGAACTCATCTCCACCTGTGCTGAACACAGCTTAAAGCACAAACTGCTCACCGTCATTCACTAGGGTGTACAACACATCTGCTACAGCCATTGTGTTTCACAAACCATCCTCTCCTGTTTTTACACTGCACATAAAAGCTCAGAGGGTGAGGGATACAAAAAAGCAAAAATGCTACTGGCATTTTTATCGCTAGGGTAAGAATCTGTTTTGGGAGGATGTGGAGGGATTCCCCCACGGTTAAACTTGGGATAGAAGTCTACTCACTCATGGACAGATTTGGGTGGATAAATCACTGCTGTCAGCAGAAATGGTAACTGCAGGAGTTAACATACTCCATGGTGTATTTTAACAGAGGGCAGTGCAGCAACAGGGGCAAACAGTGGGTCTTAAGAAACTAGATTCTCCAACTATAAGTCAAAAACAGAAGGCTTAAACAAAATATTTGTTTTATTAGTACTACAAAAAATAAACTGAACCTTTTCATTTTAAAGCAGCATAACGTTGTGTCCAAACATGAAATAAAAAGATTAGAATGTTGTACTGTATGCAACAGATGAAACTCAAGGAGGGATACTTATAAATCTATAAACAATTTCATCCACTAAAGACAATTTAAATATGAGTAAATTGAGCACTTTTTTAACTTTATGCTATAATTGAATTTGAGCTCATTATATGCCTTCTAACATAACTTGATGCCACACTGAAGTTAAGATCATAATTACTTGCAAAGAGTAAAGTTATGTTATTTTTTTAATTTTAAGTGGTAAATGATCTCCCAAATAACTAATGAGGGAAAAAAACTTAGTTGCCTAATTTAGAAACATGCATAAATCATTCTGTTTGTGTATAAGTGTATTTTATGCGTGTAAAACTGTGTCCCACCTCCAACTAAGTCCTGGTCCAAAGGGCAAAAGACTCTCATTACTTCTAATACCTTTTAGCAAATAAAGATGAAAAGAAAAGAAATGGTGGAATATGAGGAACATTAGGGCCAACTTTATTAAACTTAATTAGAGTCAACGTCGCTTATTGGGGAGGTTCACATCCATAATGGTCACTCTCTCCAGAGCAGCCGTGCAAATGATCTCAAAGGCTTTTTCCCCAGTAAATCGCTATTTAATTTATGCTTTGATGTCGTCTGAGTATGCTATCTCAAGTCTGAGGGTGCACTGCGTGTGTTTATTCTGTTTATGGGGCCTAAATAATCTTTGCCTCTTTCTACCAACAGACCTTTAACAACAATTAACAAGAACGGACAAGGACTGCTGAAGACAGATGCATAATGAGGCAGATAAAATGATCCCACTGCAACTTTTCTGCCCTACTCTGCACATAGCTGCTTGCCAACAATATACCACAACTTAAAAAAAAAATCATTCTTGGTGTCAATTAGTTTATTTGTGGCTTTTGCCTTGAAAGTCCAAAAAAAAAAAAAAGAGAAAAAGAGAGAGACTAAAAGGTTTTGAAATTTTAAAGAGTGTCTGGTTGGCTCTTTACGCAAGACTCGGTTACCGGTAGTTCTTGGTTACATAGAGTAAGGAGTAAGTACAAACAAACAGTTGGCAATATGAAAAGTAACAACTCAACAGTGATCCTCTAATGCAAAAACAATTGAATTCATGGTAAAGTTAGTGTAAGTGCAATGTTAAAAATACTGATTTTAACATTTTCCACATCTTGATGTTTTAATGATATTTTAGAATCCTGACATCACCTGGAGAAAAATTATTTAAAGCTTAAAATTCTGTGCTTCTAACTCATTTTAAGTTATCAAACTGAGACACAGGGTGTCTGTTTATCACATGAAAGAGTGGGGGGGAAAATACCAGATTCACCTTGCTTTTCAATCTATTTTAAATGTTTAGAGATAGGAAGGTGGGTCAGGATTTGATAATGTTCTTTTAGCACTGTGGGGACCCACAGTGAAGGGATTATCACAGCAATATTCATTGTGGGAAATGGTCATCTGGGCATCAGCAATGTGTTTTTCATGTGCTGTTTCTGAAGAAGGTGAGAAAACATCTTTGCTTACAACAACAAAGAAAGAAAATGACCAGTTAAAGAGAGTCTTCTGAAAGCCTGCCATTTGGAATTTAAAGCTTTAAATTTTTCAGCTGCCATGCGTTAATGAGTCATTAGTAGATCATTGCAAATACTTATCTTGTATAACCTTCACAAGTTTAAAAAATACAGTATGGTCAAGGGAAAATCAAGCTTTAACTCCTTGACACATGAGTTTCTTGTTCACTACTTTAAAAACACACCAACTACAGTAAAAACAAGACAGTTTTGCAGATAATCAAACCAGTTTTGTTTAAAGGGTTTTGATTAGTGTTCAACAATCCTAATAGCTCCCTTCAGCTAATTTTCCAAACAGGTTAAAAAAACACTTTAGTCTCACAGTTCTATATATTCTTTTCGATACAAATAAAGAGAAATTTCCATGCTCTTCTTAACTTGAAATTTATTGAAATTAAATATGAATATTTGTTTGACCTTAAAAGTATTTTTTAATTAAATGTTGCTTGAAACAGCAAGTTTCTCAGTGGATCTGCGCTCGACAATGTAGCCTAGGTGGAGTAGTCGAACGCAGATCAACTGAACCATTTCCCACAATTTGTCCCCCTCATTTCTGAGATGGTAATTAGGCCCTTGGTGAACATATCTAGATCTCTCCAGTACCACAGAATGAGCAAACATTTAGGAGACATCTTAAGAATGAGCACCACATTCAGCTGCAAAGAAGAGACCCAATGTTGAAACTACAGCATCCTCAGCAGCTCCGGAAGAATTACAGAAATTACTAAGGCCATCAGCTATGTGAAGTGCGTGCAGGCTCAATGAGACCCAGTTTTCCCTACAGAACAGGTTGAGATGCTGACAAAACTTCTTCACTTGTTCTTTTGTCAGAAAAGCTCGGAAAAATAACACTTTTTTTTCAAGGCCCAAATATTCTATGTTCTTTGTAGGAACCAAAACACAATTGGCCTATGTTATGCTGAAACCACGGCTGCAAAATCTGTGTAACATGTTCCGTGCATCCATCTCTGCTTCCTCTTTACTGGATGCATTCATCAGAAATTTGTTTAAATAAACCAGTAGTCATTGCTGCCATAGCCACAAAGCCTTGATGAGCTGGCAGAGACTGTGGGTGGCAGAGGTCTACTCCTTCCTCAGGTTACTGGTTTGCTGCATGGCAGTGACTGTCTCTCCAAACAGCTCTTTAGACTGTGACAGGTCAAACAGGGAATCCATGATGGTCTGTTTTTCCTGGTCTGGCAAGCTGGACAAGTTGTGTCCAAGTGATTTCTCTCCAGTCATTGTCAAGTCCATGACACAGGCACAAAGCAAGCCCCAGAGCACTCTGTGACAAAAGGACTTGTCTCAGTAACATTTTATAGAGGGTATGAATTGCTTTGTTGGAATCTGACAAGACGACAGAATTTTTCCATCATATAAATTCCTCTTCTCACCCTTGTCATATTGTGATGCAAATCACTCAATGGCTAGTCTGGCTTCTGCCTACTTGCACACCTCATGGAAGACAACCTTACAAGGTGCCAAAAAGGGCTGAGCCCCTTCATCTATGGAGTTACCCAGCCATTAGAACTGAGCACCATCATCCTCATATTCTTTCTCAAAGAGGTCCAAATTTATGTCCACCTAATTGTCCACCAAGCAGGCGATTGGTCGATCAGTGACAGATTTGGTGGAAGTGAAGCTTTCATGATTGGTCACAGCCAAAAAAGATTCCTATACTGAAATACCAAGTGAGGTTTGAAAAAGAAGTTGTGGGTTTGGAATGGTGAGTCTTCTCTCAGCCAGCTTTACATTACACCAGCCATCCATGGTAAGGAGAAGTCCAGGGGCCAGGAATGAAGAAATGAGGTGGAGCTAGTCAGGGGCAAATAAAGGGGATCATCAGTGACCTCAACATACAGGTCAGTTACACAGCTAGGAAACAGGCCAGTTGCTCTTCATCCCTTGTGGCTTTTCAAGCAGTTCCTTGCAGGACCCTGCAAGTCTGCTGTTGTCTATTTACCCTGATGTACCCCACCCTCAGACCATCAAGAGTTCGGCTCTACTCAGTTCTAGTCGTGGTCAGGCAGGCAGGCGGACGGACATCCCTTAACAGGCAGCATCGGCGGCACAAGGGCTGCTAGCCTGTAATTAGCTCGGACAGCTCAGGCTCGGAGAGAGGCAGCCGGGCTATATCATAATGAGCTCAGCTGGGATTAGTAGGACAGGGCAGCGGGGTGAGCAGAGGGGAAAGCAGTGGGGGGAGGGTGGGTACCATAATTCTGGCCTCAACCTACTGCAGAATCACAGAGGGCCAGAGGGAGGCAACTGGGAAGACAAGTAGAAAGACAGAAAGAGGAGGGTACACAGGCACAGAGTAGAGAAGGGAAGAGGTGAAAAGAGGTGATAGCGTAGGGGGGAGTGGTGGAGGAAAGAAGTAGACTGTAGCTTTAGGCCAAGTTTTATGTGGTATCACAAAGGGTCATTGTTTGAGGTACAGTTACAAATTCTTCTCCAGATCAAGCAGTATATGGCTACAGCTGGGTACTACAACTTGAAGAATGAAAATAAAATCAGGAGTAAAGGCAGACAAAGAGAAGTAAAATATTGCCACACAAATAAAAATAAATGAAAGCAGCACTTTCAATAAAGACTATGACAAAAGTTTTATCATTTTTTGCCTGTAGGTACACAAAAGTTTGTTATGGTCTGTGTGACATAAATATTATTAGTGGGTTTTCACAACACCCTGTGGTAGTTACAGTTGTTCATATACAAAATTTTGTCTGGGTTTAAATTACCAACTTTATAACAAAACTCTAGATTTACTAAGTTGACAAGATTACTAAAACATGAACTCTCATAAAAACTAACACTAGCAACAAAGCAGATGTTTAGTTTGGAATATACAGAACTTTACTTTTACAAAGAGACAAAAAGTGTTCCTGAACTGTGACTTTATTTCCTGTAATTTCACATGTGAAATCTGGACAGCCTGTTTAACAAATGAGTAGAGTCTAATGATCTTGCCTTTGCCCCTGCTGGCTCATAATGATGTAGCAGACTAGATGGATGCTGTGAAGCTAGGAAGGGCAAACCCAAATGTTAACATCCAACAGCACTGTATGTGTGTCTCTGCATGCACTCGAGAAAGAAAAAAACATGTTTTAGGCCAACATTGATGCATAAACGACATTACCCAATGCCACTACTGTACATATTTTTCAAACAGGTGATTTTAAATGCGGGTCACTTACTTCTCAGTGGAGAGTTTTCTGGTGAGGTTTTTAAAGTAGGCCAGCTCATTCCACACAGCATCACTGTTTTCTTGTCGTAGCTGCCACAGCTCTGCACGCTGTATCTTTCCACCTGACCTGGACATGCACATGCACATGGAACCATACAGAATATAAAAAAGAATCAAAGATGAAGACAAGCAAATGCTGAGATAAAAACTGAACAAACAACCACACACACTTACAAGGAACGCAGATGTATAACAAGGGAAAATTGTTGGTACTGTACATCACCTCACTGCCTTTGGCAACTCACATGGGGGTAAAGAAACCCCTTATTCTCGCTCTGTTTTTTTGTTTTTCAGCAATATTTAGCAGTATTCAAATGAGCAGCCTTGACTTTGACATTTTTGTGGCAAATCATGTACACTCTTATGCATGTTTGTTTAAAGCTCAGGGCACTGCCTGTGTGGCAGGGCAGTGGAGCATTCCCTAAGTGCCATGCAAATGTAAATAGTGGCAAAAACACACTTGCGAACGAGGTCATTCAAAAGTCTACACCTCACTTATGAATACTTAATGACACTTTGTGCTCGGTAGCCGCTGCCTCCATGGAACCCCCAAATCACACACACACTCATACCCCTCCACACACACACACACACACAC